CGGTTACATGACCCACTTTATCCATGTGTGGAACATGAGCATGTGCAAGTGCAAGTGCAAAATTGATAGAAGGGGGGGGGGAGGTCCAATGGAAATATGAGCACTAGCTGCCCAAGCTACCTCTGGTTTCAGGGGAAATTTTCTAATCCCTTTATCTGCCATGGGTACTGTTGGGTACTATTGGGTCCTGTGTGGTACTGTGCTGTACTGTGGGGGTACTATGGGGTGCTGTGAGGATACTATGGGGTACTGTGTGGTACTGTGGGGGTACTACAGGGTACTGCATGGTACGGCTGGTTACTGCTGGTTACTGTGGGTACTGGGGAGTACTGGGTGGTACTGGGTAGCACTGGGGGGTTAATAGGGGTACTGGGGGGTACTTGGGGTACTAGGGAGTACTGGAGAATACTGTGTTATTCTGTGGAGTACTGTGGGGTACTTCAGGGAAATGCTGGGCACTGCTGGGTACTGCCGGGTACTACTGGGTACTGGGGGTACTGGGTGCATACTGAGGGAATGAGGGGGTACTGTTGGGGTACTGCAGTGTACTGTGTGGTATTGGGTGCAGTTGGGGGTACTGACAGATACTGTTGGGGTACTGCAGAGTATGACCGGGTACTGGAGGTACTAGGGAGTAATAGAGGATATTGGGGGATACAGTGGAGTACTGTGAGGTACTGTTGGGTCCTGCTAGGTTGGGTTGCTGGGTACTACTGGCCGGGTGTTAGGGATACTAATGGATAATGGGGGTACTAAGGGGTAATGAAGTTACTATAGAGTACCGCAGTGTAGTGGGAGGTACTGCAGGGTGCATGGTACTGCAGTACCCTGTAACCTGCAGTACTCTGTACCCTTCAGTTCACCGGCACCCTGCAGTGCCCTTGTACCCTGCAGTACCCTGTACCCTGCAGTACCCTGTACCCTGCAGTACCCTGTAACCTGCAGTACCCAGTAACTAGGGTTTCCAATCTGCAGAATTCCATTGCACGAAATTGCGTAATGGTTGCTTCCCCTTTTGTCATTTCATTGTGCGCAATTGCGCTATAATTGCAAAAAAGAAGGTAATTAAATATTTGTGGAATTGCTCATAATTGCGTGCAGCGAAATTGCTTTTCCATCTAAAAATCAATATTTTTAACTGTTCAACTTACAAATTTTTATTATTATTATTAAAGATTTATTCACACACATTTAATATACATACATAAATTACATATTACATACATTAATGGTATAGTTTAAATTTGTTTTGTTATGAATGATATTAGATGTATTCATTATTCACTCTCATAATCTCCAATTTTATAAACCTGCTATTCTAAAGAAATCTATAGTCAGACTTTTGATAATATTTTTCTTTCAGAAATAAATTCCTTGCCCTTAAAAAGTTGATTTAGGAAAAGTATCAAATTTTGGTAACAATAAAAATGTCAGCAATATTTAGAAGTCAGCTCGTAATTAAGACACATTCTAACTGCATACAGAATTTTTCAGCATATTCTTGATGTTTCTAATAGACTTGTCATCCAGACTAATCAAAGGGTGTAAACCCATTATCGATGTTGCAGGTAGACTTGACATCTACATTTCGTACTCATCAAAGGGTCTAATCCAATTTTTGGGAAAGGGTGTAAACCCATTCCCGATATTTCTAGAAGACTTGACATTCACAATAATCAAAGGGTATATAAACCCATTCTCGATGTTTCTAGTAGACTTGACATCCACAATTATCAAAGGGTGTAAACCCATTCTCGATGTTTCTAGTAGACTTGACATCCACAATAATCAAAAGGTATAAACCCATTCCCGATATTTCTAGTAGACTTGACATCCACAATAATCAAATGGTATGAACCCATTCTCGATGTTTCTAGTAGACTTGACATCCACAATAATCAAAGGGTGTAAACCCATTCTCGATGTTTCTTGTAGACTTGACATCCACAATAATCAAAGGGTATAAACCCATTCTCGGTGTTTCTAGTGGACTTGACATCCACATTTATCAAACGGGAACCTGAAAGGTTTCCTCTCGAACATACAAGTTCTGCAAGGGATTCGGCCCTAGTCCTCTCATAATTAGCAAACATTTTGCATGCTTTTCTCCAGAGAGAGATGTTGACTCCTCAACTGCTCTCAACAGCAGATAGAAGAATGGAAATATAATTTTCTAGTTAATTAACAATCTAAAATGATACATTGGATGAACAATAAAATGGAAACTTTTTTTGATTAAAATTGTAAGATTTGTTTAATCAAAATAAGATATTTTGCTACAGTGAGAACCAGAAAACTATGGAAGAGAAGAAGCACATCACAGTGTATTTGATGTTGTTACAAATTAGCAAAAAACATTAATTAGTATCTAATTAAGTCACTTATTCATTTTAAATTGAGTCTAAAATGTCGTCTTCTTATGCCGGAGTTTTCTGGTTATCATGCTGCAAATGAATATTATAAAACAAAAGCTTAAGCTTAAATTCCATTTTTTTTAGCATTTGAGGCTGAAATTTTAGTGAAGTTCAGTTTAGAGTATGCCATTACCAAAGTTTAAATTGAATTTATTGTTATTGAAAGGAATTAACCTATAATTAATTGCATAATTGTGTGCCATAAGGTTTAAATTGAATATTATCAAAAAGTCGAAACACAAACGCAAGAAAGTTGGACAGAATTGCGGGCTATCGCGCGCAATTCTGTTGCGTTTAATGCGTGAAATTATTATGGAATTGCGCGCAGTTAAATTCACTTGCGTTGGAAACACTACCTGTAACCTGCAGTACCCTGTAACCTGCAGTACCCTGTAACCTGCAGTACCCTGTAACCTGCAGTACCCTGTAATCTTCAGAACCCTGTAACCTGCAGTACCCTGTAACCTGCAGTACCCTGTAATCTTCAGAACCCTGTAACCTGCAGTACCCTGTAACCTGCAGTACCCTGTAACCTGCAGTACCTTGTAATCTTCAGAACCCTGTAACCTGCAGTACCATGTAGCACTC